GGACACGTCGTCGGCCTCGCTGGCTGGGAAGGCCGCAGGGCTGGGCAGGATGGCCTCCTTCACCTGATTGGAGGCTTTTCTGGGCTTTAGGTTCTGGGAGAGCAGGAGGGAGATGGAGGGGGGTCTCCTGCTGCGACATGATGGGCCTCTTTGTGAAATAAGGGAGTGACCTCTGACCGGCTGAACAGTGGGTGGGGTGGGATAGGCAGGAGTAACTGGGCCAACATGGCAGGTCGCTGGAGGGCTGCTCTGGGTGCTCTGGGTGGGTGATGGGGCCCCAGGAGGGGGAAGGCAGGACTTCACTGGGCTGTGTCCCCAACCCGAGGAACTGGCCAAGGTCACACATAAACATGGGCCTTTATAAAATCAAAAGGTGGAAGCTGAAATCAGATGAGCTAATAATTTGGGGGAAAGTAATCTAACATGGGTCTTTGGGGTCCTGTCCTCTCTTTAAGCCTCTTTCTCTTCATAAGGCCGTCTCCCAGGCCCCACAGCCCTGCTCAGCCTCTGCCTGACCATTCTCCCCAGAAGTGCCCACAGCTGTGTGGCCTTCCTCACTTGCTGGGAGGCACCCCTCCCCCAGCCTCTGTGGGGCCCAGCCTGGGGCAGCACCTGCCCAGCATGACTGGGCTAGGCGTCCAAGCCCATGATCACTGGGCCCCAAGCCCGGCTGCTGGAGGGCCCATGGCGCAGGCTGCCAGGGTGAGGCCGGGGGCTCCCCACTCACCTGGGCTGGCCTTCACTTGTGAGCTCAGGTGCTGTAGCTTTTAGGGCCTCTGGTGGCCCTGCCAGCCCCTTTTCAGGTGACTGGAAGGATCTCAGTGGCTGAGAGGGGCCAGCTTCCAGGCCTTCCCTCACGTCTCCACCGAGCCTCCTATGACCAGGAGCAAGGAATTGCCACCCTCCTGTCCCAGATGTGAAAAGTGATTGAGAGTTTGAGTCGGTTGCCCAATGTCCATTACTGGTAGTAGCAGAACTTGGACTCCATCCACGGAGGGCTGGTCACTTCACAGGAGAGCCACCTAGATTCAGAAAGTCCCCCGCCCAGGGTTCACCTTGGGCAGATCCCCCCTGCTGCCCTCAGAGCCACACGGGAAGTGGCCAGTCCACACTGGCTGGTGTCTGGATGTGATGGCCTATTTGTTGTTCCTGTCCATGTGACCTTCCTTCTGGAACAATCCAGGGATGTCACTCCGAAGTGACTGGGTGGGTATCTCTGGCATGTTTTGTGACATCCCTTCATGCATCATTTACTTTGAAAATTTTTATAACTTTGGGTTTTGTCTGTGGTTAAAAAAAGAATTAGGATTGAAACGTCTGTGTGTGGTGGCTGGGGGTGTTCGTGGGTTGAGCACTTAGCGAATTCCTACAAAAATAAATAGTTTTGAACCAATTTCCAAACTAGACGAGCTTTTGAGCTGAGAATGAGCCTCCTTGCTTTTTTCCCTGTAAAAAAGCTGCTTGATTTTATGAGGATCAAGATGTCGTGTTTGGTGGGAGGAATAAATTTCGGTTGACACCGGCTTCCCTGGCTTTAGGCTCCCTGTCCCCAGAAGACACCGGGAGAAGGAGGCTACAGGAAATGTCAGGCTTGCTCAGGGAGGCCCGCCAGCCTCTGGACAGGGTGGCTCAGGGGACTGTCTTTGCCCCTTATTTGGGATTACCAGGGAGGGAACTGGTTTAAGGTAAGAAATGAGCACTTTGACCTTGGGCTCTAGGGACAGGGCTGTGAGAAGTCCTAGTCCCTTCCCGGTGTGTTCGAGGAGGACTAGATCTGAGCAGCAGGGCACATGCAGGGAACCAACCAACCTCCCTTCCTCCCTCCCTCCTTCCCTCCCTCCCTCCCTCCCTCCTTCCCTCCCAGTTGTGGTCCTGAGCTTTTCAGGGTCGGGAAGCTTTTCACATCCTCATTTCCTTTAGCGTCTCTCTGAGACTGGGAAACGGGTGGCCGTGTCCTCGTTTTTACAGGGAGGAAGCTGAGGCTCTGAGACCAAGCTGATGTTCCCAAGAACACAGGGCGGAAGGACAGTCGGTGGATGGTGCAGTTTCCCATCAGCTTTTTGGCTCAGGGAGCACCATCAGGTCCTCACCTCCTTCCACATCCCGCTTAGATAGGGGAGGGTAGACAGATGGAGGGACTGGCCAAGCTCACACATAAATGTGGGCCTTTATGAAATCCTCCAGCAAAAGGGGGAAGTTAAAACTGGAGCCGGTCCCAGGGCTGCGATGACGATGACGGAGCTGGTCGGGTCGGTTGGGGCAGGGGTGTCCAGGATAGGACGGCTTAAACTTGTGCTGCCTGTGAATAGGTTTACAGATGAGGAAGAAAAAGAAAATAACAAGCACCAGCTCTGCCCTCCGTGACCCCAAAACAAAGGTGGCAAATGGCAGACGTATCCTAACGCATCCCAGTGAGAGGTTGTCCACGCTTTGGGGAGAGGGCCAGGCACCAGCACGAGGTGAATTTCCCTTTCTTCCCCCACCTTAGGGCTCAGGAAGTGTCCAGTCTCAGCAGGTGTTTTGCTAGCGGCAGGTGGGTGGGGCCGAGACATGTCTCTGGGCAGCAGTCAGCACCCACAACCTCTCTCCAGCTCCATGCCTGAGCGGAGCTGCTCACTGCTCCCTAGGACACCTGGGACCCCAGTCCCCCTTGTTCCCTGCTGACCTCCTGGGCTGCCCTGGCCTCTTTCTGGAGACCCTGCTGCACCCCTGGCCTCCGGCCACCCCTACTCTGCTCCTGATGAGGTTGGCTGGGTCCAGCAGAGGACAGCTTGTTAGGTCACTTCGGTTGGGCTACAGGTGGAAAGTTCTAGGGCTTGTGTACTCCCCTCCCCCATTCCTGCTTCTCTAAGTGCCACTTGGCAGGTGTCCCAGGAGGGTGACTGCAGGAAGTACCTGGCCATTTGGCCATCTCCCCTTTGTACTCAACCTGAGAAAGAGCTGTCTGGGCCGGAGGACAGGGAAGGGGCGCCTGGCTAAGGGACCTGGGCCTGGCCTGGGCAAGCTCCTGCTTCTCTGTGCCCTGTGGTGGGCACTGACAGGGAGGCCATGGTGAGGTCACCAGCGGGAAAGGAAACAGCTCTTGTCAATAAGGCTGGGCACTTGTGTGGCTCCCAGGCCTTCTGTGCCATTGCTCAGAGCCTTGTAAGGAAAGCCCCGGGGGTGTGGTCTGGGCAGAAACCATCCCTGTTTGTGTTGGTGTGTGTCCCCACGGGGTGAGAGGCAGGTGTGTGGGTGGCTGGAGAGCAGGTGTCCTCATGATCCCATCCCCAGACACGCCCTGTGCACCTTCCGGATGAGAAAGCCCACGCAGGGTACCAAGGAGAAATAAGTCATTGCTGGGTCCCCTGAGCCCTCAGCCCAGTAGGGACAATGAACTGAGCTCAGTTAAAGACCCCATGAGGCTGCAACTTCTCCTTCTATAACATGGGTGAACCCCACAGGGTCCTAGCCAGGCCCAGTGGGCATTAGGGGGGCCAATGTCCTCCAGGTATCGAGTACTCTCAGGAAGCTCAAGGACACACAGTCACCCCAGGACTCCAGACATGGTGCTGAGCAGAGCTGGGGGCTCTGGTCCTGAGGCGTTTCCCCAGCATGGTGGGGGAGAGAGACACAGAGCCACCATGGAGAGGCTGTGATGAGCCCTAGCCACTCCTGTTCACCCCCATGTGCACCCCTTCTTCTGGGTCCCCTCTGCCCCCACCCTAAGGCTGGCCTTCTTGATCCTGGGCCCACTGCCCTGCCTCTCTGCCTCCTTCCTGTTTCCAGAAGTGCCTTTGGGAGGTGTGTGGACACCCCTCAGCCTGCCTGGGATGCCCCTGCTCATCTCTGTCCTCTGGGTCCGGGCAGGAGCTTGGGCACTGGCGATGGAGACTTCTGGCCCTTTCCCTGGCTCTGGCCCTTTCCCTGGCTCCTCCCCCAGCAGCCCCGTCTCTGGTCAGACTGGATTCCTCATTTCCCAGAAACAGCGGCATTTCCCCACCTCCCTACCATCCCCTCGTCCCCTCTCCGCAATGTCCTCTTTCACTCAGTCCTGCTGCCTTACACAATTGCCCCGGGGAACCTGCCGCAGGGCCTAAGCCAGGATACAAGGCCCCCCTGGAGTCCTGCCGGCAGCACCCCTCCACGGCCCAGCTGCCCCGCACCTGCCTCCTCCTGGGCCGGTTCTCCCTTCCCTTTGAAGACTCTGCCTATCTGGCTTCATGGGATGCCCAGTGCGTCTCCACAGTCAGCACTCATTTACTGGGCGGACGGTGTCTTCAGGGTCTGGCCTGTGGCTTCTTCTCCACCCACTTCTGGCTAAGCAGGCTGAACCCCAGTGGGAAGAGGCCTCTCTCTTGCCCTAACCCAAAGTGCATCACCTCCAAGGCCACTTCCACGGGCTAAGCCAGGTGAGGGAATGGGGACAGTGTGTGGTGGACCCAGGAGTCCCTGCCCTCGGCTCCTGTTCCCCTAAATTCAGCTTCCTCCGATCCATGCCCAGAGGTTGCGTTGAGGCCACATCATGACCATGATGATGACGATGATGAGATGATGATAATGAAAGTGATAAGATCAGGAAGGACAGTATTCAGGTGGAGTTTCTCTTGGACATTCCCAGGACTCCTCCTCAGATTCCCCCTCTGAGGGTTCCCACCCTCTCCTCCCTCCCAGCCTGGAAAGGGGAGCTCTGGTCACGAGGACCCTGGTCTTCAGGCCCTGTACCTGGCTGGGTCTGGCTGCCACTCCTCCCCCACACCTGTACCCTGTGAACATCAGATGTCCCTGGGCTGTGACTCAGTGTCTGTCTCCAGGCTGACCTCAGCATGGACCTGGGGGCAGGGGGAGAGGGCAGTTTCCTCTGAGACTAGAGGGTGACTCAGGGGCCCAGGGCTGGGGCCTTGATGTGTTTTTGTTGGCTCAGGAATCCAGAGAAACTGGTCAGGGGGAGGCCCCAGCCACCGAAACCCCTCCTTCTGCCCCCGCCCCTCTGCCAGAGTCATATAACTGCTCAACCTGGAGCCCGGGAGCCCTGTGTCGCAGGAAGGAACTGGTCTGGTCACATTGCTGGTCTTGGGCATCTGACTCTCCAGAGAGGGGCTCCACTTGGCTCTGTCTTCTTCCACCTCCCAGGGAAAGGCCTTCCCCACCCACCCGAGGACCCCATCCTCAGGCTGCAGAGCCGATCTCCACATCTCCACCGTCTTCCAGGTCCTCCCCCCAGCAGGCCCTGAGCATGGCTTCCATGGGGCTGCAGGTGCTGGGCATCGCGCTGGCCGTGCTGGGCTGGCTGGGGGCCATACTGAGCTGCGCGCTGCCCATGTGGCGGGTGACCGCCTTCATCGGCAGCAACATCGTCACGGCACAGACCAGCTGGGAGGGCCTGTGGATGAACTGCGTGGTGCAGAGCACTGGCCAGATGCAGTGCAAGGTGTACGACTCGCTGCTGGCGCTGCCCCAGGACCTGCAGGCGGCCCGCGCCCTCATCGTCATCAGCATCATCGTGGCGGCGCTGGGCATGCTGCTGTCTGTGGTCGGGGGCAAGTGCACCAACTGCGTGGAGGATGAGACCACCAAGGCCAAGACCATGATCGTGGCGGGCGTGGTGTTCCTGCTGGCCAGCCTGCTGGTGATGGTGCCTGTGTCCTGGACGGCCCACAACGTCATCCGCGACTTCTACAACCCGCTGGTGGCCGCAGGGCAGAAGCGGGAGATGGGCGCTGCGCTCTACATCGGCTGGGCGGCCTCGGGGCTGCTGCTGCTGGGGGGCGCCCTGCTCTGCTGCAACTGCCCACCCCGCGCCGACAAGCCCTACTCGGCCAAGTACTCGGCAGCCCGCTCCGCCCCGGCCAGCAACTACGTGTGAGGCGCCACCCAGACCTGTCCCTTTCGGCTTTGTTTTCCCTTGGACTGAGCTTGGAGCAGCCATGACCCCAGGACGGCGCTGCCATGGGCTGCTGGCTGCTGGGGGATGGGCAAGCAGGACCGAGCCCGCGGGCAGCCCTTCCCGCCCACTGGGGCTCCTTCCCAAGGCCTCCTGTCATTGGCGAGGATGGACAGTCTCGAGCCACCCTCCTCTGAAAGAACCCTAGATCCAGAGCAGGTGGAACCGACAGCTGGCTCCTGCTGGCCAGGAGAGCTCGGCCCTGACCTTGGGCTCCGCCTCCAAGTGGGTGCCCTGCCCACACCGGCACCTCCCACTGTCCCTTTTCTACCCTCCCCCTCCCTCTGCCCACATCTTCGGTCATGCCAGTGCTTCTCTTGCCGCTGTCTCCCGTGTTCCTGGGCACTCCTGGCCCTGCCCAGGCACTGGTGTGATGGACTGTGGGTGACTGTGTGGCCAGGAAATGCCACTGGGGCTGTGTCACGGGAATCTGTGGTTATGGAGAAGCGTGGGCCTTGCCCACCCACCTGCTGTGGAGTGGAACACAGAGTGGATGGACAGGTTTGAGCGACAGGTTTAGGTGGAATAAACTGGTTTGGGTAGTGGCAGGGAGCGCCAGAGAGGTGGCCTGGCCACCCTCACCCCTTCCGGCCTCACCCTGCTGCCGTGGGGCTCGTGGGGCTCGCTGTCTCACCCCTCTCAGCAGAAGGACCCCCAGGACCCTGAGACTGGCTCCTTTGAGTCCTCTGCCCCTGCCAAGGAATGGCCAGCTTGGGGAGGGTAGGGGAAATGGCCTCACCAGAAGGAGTCCTGGCCTCTCCCCTGCCTCCTTTGATGTTTCTGTTTTGTAATTAAGAGACTATTCATCACTGTCATTATTATTATTTTCTACAATAAATGGGACCTGTGCACAGGAAGGTTCTGTACTGTCTGTGATTCTAGCCATGGAGGTGGGCAGGGCAGGCTGGAGGGTAAGGGTCAGGACCACCATGCTGTGGCCAGGACATGAGCACTTTCAAGACTGGTGTCAGGGAACTGTGGGAAATTGGAATGGGGCCCAACCTTGGGAACCACCTCACTCAAGCCCTTCACCTGTGAGAGGGGAGGCCCCGTCCACAGGACACTAGAGGAAGCTTGGGAACTTAAGGCAGGAGGATGGGGGGACCCACCTCTACCCCTTTCTCCTCCACTGTGTCCCAGCTTTGGGCAGCTGGGCTGGTCTGCTGTCCTCCTTGAGCCACCAGGCAGGATCCACCTCCTGGCCTTTGTTCAGAGGGTCCCTGCCCAAGGTCTGGAATGTCCTTCTTTCTTTCTCTACCCCTCGAAATCCTGCTGGTCCTGAAGGCCCAGCTCCAAGCAGTCTCCCCAAGGAAGCCTTCCCACAGCCTGCCCCGATTGGAGGGATCATCATTAGCCACATTCATGTCCCCAAGCTGTTGATAGTCACCAAAGTCCTTTTACCCGCCCCTGCTCAGAGCAGCCCCCAAGCCACACCCTGAGTTTGGCATTCCAGTCCCTTTATGGATGAGGAAACCCAACCCTGTGTTTGTGAAAGTGTGGCTGGGGGGCTGGGGATGTGGCTCAAGCGGTAGGGCGCTTGCCTGGCATGCGTGTGGCCCAAATCAGAAGACGTTGTGTCCACTGAAAACTAAAAAATAAAATATTAAAAAATTCTCTCTCTCTCTCTCTCTCTCTCTCTCTCTCTCTCTCATTCTCTCTTAAAAAAAAAAAAGAAAAAAAAAGAAAAAGAAAGTGTGGCTGGGCCCAGGCCCATAGCTGGGGACCTCTGGTTCCAGACCCCAGAACAGGGCCAGAGCTCAGCAGCCACTTTGTCATGACTTGGATCCTTCTGGCATTTTCTGATGTTGTCTGGGCTCAGTTTCCTCAACTGCGAGTTAGGGGTGAGGGGCCCAGCACCCTGGGAGAAGTCTCAGCGCCACACCTGGCTCCGGGATGGTGTATGTGGGGCCTTTTGAGCCACTTCTTGCTTCTTGAATCCACAGGTGTAACTGGGTAATGAAAGGCGAGGGAAGGAACAGACTTTTTCCTTGTTTGTCATTTTCCCACCCTAGTTAATTTTATTTATTTAGCAAATCGGGGTCTCACTATGTTGGCCAGGCTGGTCCCTAGTTACGGTTTATTATGATGATTATAATGGTCCATATTACTTTGCAGTGCTGGCAACTGGATCTCTCCCACTGAGCTACATCCCAGCCTCTTAATTAAAATCTAAAACCCAAAGAGCAATATTCTTCCTTGTGAAACTCAGAGGAAAACAGAATAGACCTGTTAGCTTTACTGCCATGATACCACCACCAATGGCGACCGTTGTTTATTTATTTTTTTAATATATACATATTTTTTAGTTCTGATTGGACACAATACCTTTATCTTATTTATTTTGATGTAGTGCTGAGGATTGAGCCCAGCGCCTCCCACGTGCTAGGTGAGCACTCTACCGCTCAGCCCCAGCCCGCACCCCCACCCACCCCGCAACATTGTTTTCAGTTGGTTGTTTTTTAGGTATTTGGAGTTTACTTTGTCTGACTCAAAGTGGCTGAAACCAAGGAACCGTACAAGGGGACCTTTTGACATCAGAGTGCCAAAACTCCACCCTTGGGTCACGTTAAAGCTGCCATTTTGTTTTGTTTTCTGAACTTAGGTCTTATCAAGAATCCTGACTACCAGGTGTGGTCATCTCAGGTGCTCAGGAAGCTGAGGCAGAGGATCAAAGGTCAAGGCTAGCCTCCTCAACGTAGGGAGACCCTGTCTTTCTATAAAAAAATAGAAAGTGCTGTGGACGTGGCTCCGTGGTAGAGCACCCCTGGGTTCAACCCCGAGTCCTTCAAAACAGCAACAGAACCCTGACATCTGATTAGACACGTGAAGACCACCAACGACACCACTTGCCTCCCCAACAGTCCCCTTGCCTGGCAGCTCACACCTCTTTTTCTTTCCCTCATTCCATCAACATCCCTACACCTTGCCCCGGGGAGGCAGACAAGTCCAGAGGCTCTGCCTCCTCGTATTTGGACACCCTAATAGTAGGATTGGCCTACTGGGTAGAATGCAAAAGGTCTGTGGTTCTGAAACCCAGGAACCGAGGTCCCTCTCTCCTGGGGCAGGTAACTACAGAACCACGAGTCTTTTTGTTACTTCTGGGAGTTCATTTAATAGGCAGAACATTCTTAAGGGGCAGGTTTGATACAATGGTCCCATTTTACAGATGGAGCAAAGAGGGCCAGAAGATGGGCCTGGCTAAGGTCACTTGGAAGCTCAGAGGCCAGCTAGGAGCTGTGACCGGGCCTCACTCCCTCCATCAGGGAGACCTCTGCTTTTGGTACAAGTAGATGATGCCCGAGATGAAGCCATCCTTGGCGCCGGGTGCCACCTCAAGAGGAGAGGTGGCCAGCTCCCAGTGGTCAACAGTCTGGGCCACCAGGCGTTTCCAGGCCCCAGCCTGCTCTAGCTTGTCCAGGGTGGCCTCCAGTGCCTCCTTGTACTGCAGGTTGGATGGGTTGGCCCTGGTGGTCAGGCACACCAGCCCACCTGGGGAAGGGCAGGGGAAGGAGGCAAGCAGGGTGAGTCCCAGGGAGGCCTGACCCTCCCCACTCGCCTCTGCAAGGTTGTAAGCTCTTCAGCTTCTCCTCGGCCCATCTTCTCCCCCTTCCATAGCTTTGGGGTTCCTGTCACTTCTCCAGGCATGGCCTTGAGCTTCCTCACCTAGACAGTCTCCCATGCACCCTTCCAGGCCCAAGTGTCCTTTAGAGTGGGAATTCTTGACCTCACCCTGGGATCAAGGGGCCTCTCTGCTCATTGCTCACCCAGCGCCTCTGCTGGGGACATAGCTGAGTCAGGTTGCTCAGGAAAGAAGCACATGAGTTTGGGACCTTGGGCAGTCCCTTCATCTCTCCCAGCCTCAGGGGCCCAGCAGGTGGAGAGGGGCTGGTTATCCTGCTTCACAGGAAGTGTGTGCACAAAATGCCTGGCAGTCAGCAGTGCTGGCTGAAGGGAGGAGGGATCTTGTCCCCTCAGTCCAGGCACCTACATGTGCCCAGTGTGGCCTTGGATGCACTTGAAAGGGGAGAAGTGGAAGACCCAATGGCCACTTCCGGGAACATTCTTGGAGGAGGGGCTGGGAGGAGCATGGAGCTGCTGGTGGGGCACAGTGAGAGGACAGCCCTGGGGCAGGGCACCTGTGCCGCGTTGGGCCAGTGCACAGGGCTCTGCTGGCTGAGGAACCTGAGGTCCCAGGATGGACCAGGAGGCCTGGTCCTTGCTGGTTCGTGCGATGGGAATTTCCTGCCCTCTGAGCCCAGTCTCCACCTCTTCCCCGTGACCCCACCGATGTTCCTGCATGTCCTGCGTGTCGGCCTGGGGACTTCCCCAAGCTGAGGCCTGCCCAGACCTGCCCAGATTTAACCACAGCCACAGCTGGGCCCTGAGGCCGGGCTGGGGAGGGCAGAGCGAGAGGAAGCATTTTTGCCTCCTGACTTCCTGATTCTGTCCTGCAACCAGCCTGAGCCTCCTGGTCCTCACGCTAGGCGCTGTGCCTGCACGCATGTGGCTCTGCTCGTGACCTCTCGCAGGCTGCTCTCCTGGTGAACATCTCCTCCCAGCCCTTGGAATGCCTCTCCTCTCAACCCTTGGAGAGCTGAACCCTCATGGGGCCCCCTTGGGCCCCTCCCCAGGCTCTGTGGGTTGGTGGTGGAGGCCAGAGGGCAGGGTTTGTATCTTCTGCCCAGAGCAGAGGAGCGCACAGGAGGGGCACTGACATCGCTATCTGCACATCTGACCGGTGTGCAGAGTTCAGAAGTGTTCACAATCACCTCTCATCTTGCCTGGGCAGACTCGACAGGGATGTACCCTCGGGCAGTCTAGGAGTGAATGAGGAAGCTGGAGTACAAGGATATGCACGGGACATACAGGGAGCCTCTCCCCTGTGCCAGGAGGGAAGTAAAGGCCTTAGGGACATGATTTTACCCAATTGTCACTGAAATCCAATGGAGAAGGGATCACTGGCAGAATGCCACCCTCCCCACAGGTGAAGGGACAGAGACCAGAGAGGTGCTGCTCCTGGTTGCCATAGATAAGAGGCAAGCTGACCATCTGCCAGCCCTACCGGTGCACCTGTGTCTGTTGGTGGCCACTGAGTGAACCCTGGGCTGGTTGCTGGGGGCTGGGAGGTCAGCTGGGCAGTCCTGAGCAGGACCCTGTCCTCACTTGGCCCAAGGAGTGCTGAGGCCTGTGTGGTGTGAAGAGGGGAAGGTGGGTGAGTGGAGGGGGGGCTGGCAGGGCTCACCTGGCTTGGCGACACGCAGGAGCTCAGGTATGGCACTGCAGGGCACCTGGCCATCACTGAGGGCACCCACTATCAGCACTGCGTCAAAGGTCCCTGTGTGTAGGGAGGGTGGGGCGGGGATGGGGTTGGGTGCTTTGCTTTTGGTATGGCCTCAGACAACACTGGAGGCCAAAGTACCTCATGGTGGGGGTTGGGGAGGGACCAGGTCTGACACCTGCATGTGCAGGACCCAGATCTCATGGAGGAGCTGGTGGTACAGCCCAGGATGGGGCTGATGTCAGATCCCAGGTGGAGAAACCAGGGAGAAGGGCTGATGGAGACCTCAGCAAGGGGCAGGGGTGGAGGCTCAATAAGAGAAGGGGGTTCTCTTCTCTTGGAGACAGGTGAGGGGGTAGATCTGGGAGTGTTGGGGGCAGGAGGGGAAGTACCTTCGGGGCTGGGCAGAGGCTCCTGACCCAGTGTACAGAGGCTGAGGTGCTGGTAGAGGCCGCAGGCCTGGGCCTGTTTCAGCATCTCTGGGCTCCCATCCACTCCATGCAGCTGGAGGAAGCCCCGAGCCTGCAGCTGGGGTGAGAGGGATGCAGTCATGGCTCATGTCCTGCCACCTCCCAGCAGGGCCCCTGCACCTCAAGAGGGCCATGGTCCCTGCAGTGGATACGTTCGAGGCCAATGACTCTGAGAGGGGAGACATAGTTCTAGGTCCAGGGGTGACAGGAAATTTGAGCAGGGAGAGGGGCTTGAGGAAAGGGAGGGGGTCTGAGGGGGGTCTCACCTCTGCAGCTACAAGGCCGGTGCCACAGGCAACGTCCAGGATCAGGGCAGCATGGGGTGGGCCTGGAAGGGCTTGGGTGAGACAGTCCACAGCAAGCCTGGGGGCTCGGTACTGCAGGGCAGCCACATCCTGGACAGAGAGTGATGGGCCTAGCAACAGGGTACTCTGGTTTTTGGGGGGACCCCTGTGTAGTGTGGTCCAGGAGTCTGCCAGGCTAAGCTTGTGTGTGCTGGGGCCTGGGGTCCTGCTGGGACTACAGTGAGAGGAAACCCAAGCATGAGGTGCCCTCTACCTCCAAGGGACCGGGACTGGAGAGTTAGTCCCCACCTCACGAGGGCTCAGCTTCTCAGGCTCCTTTGCTGGTTGAGGACCCTCTGTGCTTAATCCACAGTGATACTTCAGTGGCACTATCTCCAGGCAGCCCCGAGTTGCAGTCTCAGGTTGGGGAGGTCCCTGATAGAGGCTGACAGTCATGAGCTGGTGGGGTGCCTCTGAGGTTAGGGAAGCAGTAATGGACCAGAAGAAGAACTGGTCAGTGCAAGTACCCGATGGTAGGGTTCTCACCATTGTTACAGCTTTCCTGGGGTGAAAGGCTAGTCCCATTTGACTGATAGAAAAATCAGGCACGGACCCAGATGGGTTACCTGGTCGTAATCTGGAGCCCAGCGGCCATAGAACTGGAGCTTGCGGTCCAGGTCGTTGATGTTGTGGGAGGCCCCGATCCGGGCCTGTACCTCGGACAGGTTCCTACCCTTCTCCTGAGCCATCCTCCTGTGGGGACACGATCCCACCTCAGTCTCCCGTTCCCCCTCGCCCTCCCCAGCAGAGCAGTCTGTCAGATCTCCAGGGCCATGCCGTTTCACAGGTGTGGACTTTGAGCGCAGCCAGGGTGAGGCTGGACCTGTACACCCTGGGTCTGCAGGGCTGGGGGACGGGCAGGGGGCGCGGGGAGGGTTCCTGGGGCGGAGAGTGGGAGGACCTGCCTCTCACCCCCATCCCCCGATCGGGGGTGGAGAAGCACCCAGAACGGAAAGGTTTCTACAGAGTGAGATGGTCAGAACTCACCGCTAAGCTGACCAGTCAGGGGTAAGAGGGCTCCGGAACTCGGGGCGGGCCCGGCCGCCGAGCCTGGCCACGCCCCCACCGCCTTTGAGGATTGGGTTTCCTCTGAGATAAATTACCCAATCAAAGCAAAGCGCTGCGCCCCGCCCACCCGCCAGCCAATGAGCTCGAGGCTCTCGGCCCTCCTCCAGCCTGGGAAGATCCCAGACTCAGCAGCCACCAGCGAAGATGGAAATATTTTGTAATCTGCCCTGTTCAGCAGGGTAGCTGCTAGGCACGTGTGGCCGTTGAGCACTTGAAATGTGGCTAGCGCGTCCGAGGAACTGAACTTTATCTTTTAGTTTGTTTTCATAATTTAAACAGCCAGATGTGGCTAGTGGGCAGCTCTGGAAGTCTTAGCGCTGTTTGATGCGCAGATTGTAGTATTCACCACGGTGGCAGCTTGAGTTCCTCCAGGAGTCGCTTAGGGCAGCCTGTTAGAAATGTAAGTTCTCAGTTGGCCCCTGACCTTCTTTCTGAATCAGCGTCAGGTTGCTGGGGCCAGAACTTCTGGATCTCAACCAAATTCTTCAGGTGGTTCCTATGCAGCTAAATGGTCAAAAGAAGCACAGATCTAGAGGACCCATGTAGGGATCAAGGTTTGGGCCGGCAGAGTTTGGGAGACTATTGCATCTGCCTAGGTGGGAGGCAATGGCAACATAACTTGGGTAGAGGTCATGGCTGGGCAGAGGAATGGATGAATTTCAGAGGTCTTCATCCCAGCAACTAGAGAGGCTGAGACAGGAGGATTGTAAGTTCAAGGCCAGCCTGTGCAACTTAAAGAGGCCCTAAGAAACTTAGTGAGACTCTGTCTCAAAATAAAAATAAATAAATAAATTAAAAGGGCTAGGGATGTAGATCGTAAATCCTCAGTGTGTGTGTGTGTGTGGGTGGTGGTGGTGGTGGTGTCAGGGTCTTTGATGATTGACTCAGTGTGTGGGAGCCTGAAGCAAGATGTTAGGAATGGTGTCCCACTTTCTGCTTGAGCCCCTGGGTGAATGGTGGTTCCATTCATAACAGGAAACCTTAGAGGAGGAGCAGGTTTAGGAGGATATTAATAGTTTTGGGATGTTTCTGAGATGTGTGCAGGTGAACATGTCCAAGAGATTCTTTTTTTTTTTTTTTTTTTTTAGTTCTCGGCAGACACAACATCTTTGTTGGTATGTGGTGCTGGGGATCGAACCCGGGCCGCACGCATGCCAGGCGAGCGCACTACCGCTTGAGCCACATCCCCAGCCCCCCAAGAGATTCTTTGAGGCCAGGTCTTGAGCTCAAGAGAGAGGTCAGGCTTGGGACAGATTGAGGGTCCTGAGTGTAGCTGTCATTGAGGCAGCTGGTAAAGGCAAGATGGTGCAGAGTAGAAAGAGTGGGCATGAGGAGAGGACTCCGATCCTGCTCAGGACTCTAGTCCTTCAGGGCAGGTGCAGGAAGAGGAGCGGTGGGAGTGTTGGAGAAAACTAGAGTTAGGAAGGATGCCCCAGAACAGTGCTTCAAAAAGACAGGGGTGGCCCACACTGCCCAGCATGCAGAGAGGTGTAGAAAATGAGAATTAAAAACTGAACCTCGGGGCTGGGGATGTGGCTCAAGCGGTAGCGCGCTTGCCTGGCATGCGTGCGGCCTGGGTTTGATATTCAGCACCACAAACAAAGATGTTGTGTCCACCGAAAACTAAAAAATAAATATTAAAATTCTCTCTCTCTCTCTCTCTCTCTCCCCCTTAAAAAAAAAAAAAAAAAAAAGAACTGAACCTTGGAGGTCTTCCTAGCATATGTCATGGCCATGTGGCAGACTCTTGGCCATTGGAATGTGGCTGGAAATGGGAAGCTTTTTTTCCAGACCTGGACCATAGGGCCCTCCCCACCAACTCGCACCAGACTGTAACATGAACAAAAAATAAACTTTTATTGTGTTAAGCTGCTGATATTTTAAAGGTCCTTTTTTTTTGAGAGAGAGAGAGAGAATTTTAATATTTATTTTTCAGTTTTTGGCGGACACAACATCTTTGTTTGTATGTGGTGCTGAGGATCGAACCTGGGCTGCACACATGCCAGGCGAGCGCACTACTGCTTGAGCCACATCCCCAGTCCAAGCTGCTGAGATTTTAGGATTTATTTAATACAACAGATAACATCATTTACCTTGATTAGCACAGTGATGATGATGGTGATTATATGCCTGTGCTGGGGATATAAACTGGCCTCACATATGCTAGGCAGGTCTTTACCATTTCCAGAATGTCATATAGTTGGGATCCTACCATATATAGGCTTTTTATTTTTTCATTTTTTCCATATTTTTTTTAATCAGTGCATTATAGTTTTACATAATGGTAGGATTCATTGTTACAGACATGTACATGCACACAATGTAACAATTTGGCCAGAATCATTTCCCAGTGTTCCCCTCCCCCTCGTCCCTGTCCTCTATTCTACTGCTTTCCCTTTGATTTTCATGAGATCCTCCCACCCAGTTTTATTTTCTTTTTCCTCTCTAGCTTCCACATATGAGAGAAAACAAATGACCTTGACTTTCTGAGCTTGGCTTATTTTGCCTAACAAAATACTCTCAAGTTCCATCCACTTTCCTGTACATGACATAATTTCATTCTTCTTTATGGCTGAATAAAACTCCATGGTGTATACATACCACATTTTAAAAAATGCATTCATTCATTGCTGGACGCCTGGGCTGGCTCCATAGTTTGGCTATTGTGAGTTGCGCTGCTATCAAGGGGTCTGCATGTCTCACTGTAGAAGGATGACTTTAATGTTTTAGGTAGCTGGGTTGTATGGTGGTCCCAGGCCTAGTCCTCTGAGGAACCTCCATGTTGATTTCCATAGCAAAACAGTGATCTTGATAAATACAGTTGATAAGTGTAGTGGGAGAAGCCCAGATTTCAGAGGTCACCAGCTGTTATGGTTTAGACATGAGGTGTCCCTCAAAAGCTCATGTGTGTGACAATACAAGAAACTTTAGTGATGAAATGATCGAGGATCTAAACCTAATCAGTGCATTAACCCTGAGAGGTTAACTGGGTGGTAACTGTACGCAGGTAGGGTTCATTGGGGGTGTGCCTTTGGGGTACTTGTGTATATATGTGTGTGTGCGTGTGTACATCTGCCTCACGCTGGGCCCAGAGTAACCGAGTTGACCATCTATGGACTGAGACCTCTGAAACCGTGAGCCCCCAAATAAACTTTTCCTCCTCTAATTGTTCTCATCAGGTCTTTTGGTCACAGCAGCTGAGACCAAAAAAGCTGACTAAAACACCAGCCAAGATCCACACCAAGGGGCAGGGGGACAGGCGGACCCCTCTGTTCCCCTGCAGAACAGCGACCGGCATGGAGACATGGGCGAAGATCTACTGTGGGAAGCCCAGGCTGCGAAGGGGGGGTCCTCGGCTCCATTATACCATCAGGTCCCAGGTTCCTGTCACCCTTCCTCTCTGCCACCTTTTGAATGCAGACCTCTGTCCTCAATCTGTCACCTCGTGGTGGCTGCTACATGTCCCAGCAGGAAGAAGGGAAGAGGGCAAAAAGCCCGATCAGCTCAATCTAGTCCCTCAAATAAAAAATAAAGCACATTGTGGGGAGCCCCACCCTGCGCCTGTGCTTCACCCAGTGGCCGGACTGGGTCTCAGGGCCACTCCTGGACAGTGTCTGGGTGCTGGATTCACAGATGAGTCAGAGACGGCCCCCACCCCATCCTAGTGGGAGTAGGGCAGGGGTGATTTCCTGTGCAGGACCTGCGCTGTGTCCTCAAAGTCCATGCTTCTAGGCCACCTCCCTGACCCTGGGGTGTCTGGAGGGCTCCTCTGTGGGGGCAGGAAGGGGAAGGGCGCCTTTGATGCCAAGTGATGTCGTGGGTGGGTGCCTTGCTGTGTGTCCACTCTGCTTTATCCTCTGGTCATGAGGCGGAGGCCGCAGCTCCAGCCTCCCTGTGTTCTTGTTTGCAGGGCCTTCAGGCTGACCAGGATGGCTGGAAGCTTTACCTTTTTCATTTTTTGGGTGGGGGTAACTGAGGATTGCACTCAGGGGTGCCCGAGCACTGAGCCACATCCCCAGCCCTTTTTTGTATTGTATTTAGAGACAAGGTCTCACTGAGTTGCTGAGGCTGGCTTTGAACTCATCATCCTTCTGCCCTAGCCTCCCAAGCAGCTGGGGTTACAGGTGTGGCCACCACTCCCTGTTTCTCTTTTCCTTTGAGGGGAGGGGATTATCCCAGACTCCCCACGGGGGGCTGGGAGAGCACAGTGGGGCTCTTTAAGGCTCAGGCTCCCTCTGGGGTGTGGGGCAGTGGCCTTCAATGTGGCCTGCTCTTTGGGGTGTGCAGTCCAGTCTGATGGTGCAGAGGGTCCCCACCTTCTGTTTGCTACCTCTCCTCTCCTCCCTCTGATCCCATGGAGTAGGGATTGTCCTGGGCCTTCCTTCTTCTTGGTCTCATTTCCTGGGGGATCTCATCCAGGCCTGAGGATTTACAGGTCACCGACTTCAACTTGCTGACTCCCCTGAGGGCCAGGCTCTACCCAGTTGTGCACCTGCCGTCTCCTCCCTGGAGGCCACTGGCCTCGGGCAGTGATGTGCCCCGCCTGACCCGCTCCTCTCTTCACTCCCAAATCTGCTCTTCCTCCACCCCCACCCTATCCCATCTCAGCAAAGCACCCAAACCAGCTTTATGCAGACGCTCCACCCAAGCCACATCTCTCCCATTCTATCAGCAAATCTTGTGACCTTGAAATGGCCTTCCCGCCTCTCCACCTCTGCCACTCCAGTCCCATCTGCCTTCTGTCCTGTTCAGACCCTGTGGTGGCCTCCTTACTGGCCTCCCTGCCTCTTCCTCTGTCCCAGCCACAGTCCATTTTCTTCACAATAGCCAGAGGTCAAATATTATCATCATCTGTGGTGCTAGTGATGGAAACCAGGACACCATGCGTGCCAGGCAGGTGCTCTGCTACTGAGCTACACAGCCAGCCAGGAAGTTATTATTTTAAAATGTTTTCAGACTTAAAATTCAAAACATACATGAAAGAACAAACTGATAAAATGTCCCTGGCTTCACTCTGTGTACGCAATTTCAACAGTTAAGAAACTGTGCCCAACCGGAGGATGTTTTTACAGTACATTTTTGGTGAGCTTACTCATCTGCCTCAAACCCCAAAGCCAAATTCCTTACTCCCCCCTCCACCGCCTCCTTTGTCCGGCCGGTCTCTGCCGTGCCCCAGGGCCCTTGCACTTCTGTTTTCTGGATCACTCTCCCTTGAGATCTTTGTTTGACTGGCTTATTGTCACCCTTCAGGCATCCGCCAGTCAGAAGGAAAACATGTGAGCAGTTTGTCCTCCTGGCTCCAGAAGGTTTGAAAGTAGGAAGTGAAAAAGTTCTTCTCTTGACTTTCCCTTAGGGAGGAACCTTCTAGGTTTGGTTTTTATATTTTTACTGGGTGTATTAGGTCTCCAGGACGACCCACGACAGACCCACGACACTCCTCAGTGGGTTTGAAGAAGCCGCCTGAATGCCATGGTGAAGGGCCCCTTTTCAGTTAACCTTGTCCTTGAGGTCCTCCCCCCAGGCACGAGGGTCTCCCCCACTTAAACCACCCTGAGTCACCCCTGGCTGAGTCACCTGTGCGCAGGTCTGTCCCTCCAGGCGGGCTGTTCAGCCGGGTCATCGAGCCCTGGGCGGCTGCAGGTGGACCAGCGCAGGAGGCGGCGAGGGGTCAGCCTGCTCCAGTTTCCCACGCGGGTTCCTGGTCAGCGTGGGAGGAAGAATTTTCCAGCACACGAAGCGCTGGAGGCTGCGCTAGGGGGTAGGTCCCGTTGTGCCCTGGGCCTTGCCACTCCTCCGTGTCCCTCCTTCCTTCCATTCTCTCCCCCTCTCTCCCCTCTGTCCGACCCGGACCTTTTCTGCCTTTCCCAGGACTGGAGGTTGAACCCGGGCCTGGTGGGCAGGCGCTCCACTGCTGAGCCACACCAATGCTGGCTCTTTTTTTTTTGCAAAGTAAGGAGACACAGTATATCATTGCGGTTTTTATTTTTTTAAAAAAATATCTTTTTAGTTGTCAGTGGATCTTTATTTATTTATATGCAGTGCTGAGAATCGAACCCAGTGCCTCACACATGCTAGGCAAGCGCTCTACCACTGAGCTATATCCCCAGCCCTCATTGCGGTTTTTATACCCATTCTTCTCCCAGTTACTGAGGTTGATCATCTTCTTTTTCTCCTCCTCTCCTCTTCCTCCTTCTTTCTTCCTTCCTTCCTTTTTGTTTTTAGTACTGGGAATTAAACTCAGGGACCCTCCATCACTGAGCTACATCCTCTTTTCATTTTAATTTTATTTATTTATTTATTTAGAGACAGAGTCTTGCCCAAGTTGCCCAGGCTGGCCTTGAACTTTTAGATCCTCCTGCTTTAGCCTCCTAAGTATAATTCACCGCCATGTCCAGCTCCACTACTACTAATAATGGTTATTATTTTGGGGTACTGGGGATTGAACTCAGGGGGCCCTTTACCACTGAGCTACACCCCCCAGCCATTTTTATTTTTATTTTGAGACAGGGTCCTGCTAAATTGTTGAGGCTGGACTTGAACTTGCTATCCTCCTGCCTTAGGTCCCAGGCCATTGGGATTACAGGTGCACCACTGTGCCTGGCTGACTTTCTTTTTAAATCAGCAATCCAGTCATTCATTTATTTGACAAATATTTATTGAACCCCTGCTAACACTAAGTATGACTTTTTTTTTTTTTGGTGTGTGTGTGTGTGTGTGTGTGTGTGTCACTGGGGACTGAACCCAGGGGTCCTTTACCACTGAGCTACAACCTTAGTCCTATTTATTTATTTATTCTAATTTTGAGACAGGGTCTTACTAAATTGCTTAGGGACTCACAAAATAGCCAAGACTGGCCTCAAACTTGCAATCCTCCTGCCTCAGCCTCCTGAGTAGCTGTGGGCCATCACGCATGGCTACTTTATATCTCTTTAAGGAACATTTCCAAAGCATTTCCTTCATTTTATGTTATTTTTTTTTTGCATTAATTTTAAGGTTGCAGTGATACTTCTTTGTATTTTGCAGGTTTAAAAAAATATCTTGATTTTGAAATTTCAATATTGGGTTGGGCACCAAGTGAATTGCCTGAAAGTTGTTTGGTGAAAATGATTATTTCCACACGTCAATTTGTGAATTAACAAAGTCTGTGCACCCCAGGTAATTTCTTTTTGTAAATATGCACACATTTTTAAAGAATTTCCACCCAACTTGGAGCTTGTTTTTTTTTTTTTTTTTAATATTTTCTAGTAGTTGATGGACCTTTATTTTATTTATTTGTATGTGGTGCTGAGAATTGAACCCAGTGCATCACACATGCTAGACAAGCACGCAACCACTGAGCCACAACCCTGGCCCCTGGAGCTTGTTTTCTTTCCAAGATTTCATGAGTTCCTTTTTATCAGAGGCTGACTTCAGACCACCCCCCACCCCGGCCCCAAGCCTTGCATCACAGTCCCTAATTCATTGACTTCTCTCTATATCCTCTCTGGAAGTTTCTTCTAAGTACATTGCCTGTTTTATACATAAGCAAACTCTGAACGAGCTTGTTCAAGGTCATGGGCTTGTAAGTAGGTGGCAGAGGTCAGTTCAAACCCCAACCTGTCCAACTCATAAACCAGCTCCCGTAACCAGGATAGGGTTCCGAGACTTCCATCCATTTACAAGCATCAGTTTTGCATTTAAGCCCCTTAGATAAAGCCATCTTTAGCAAGAAAAAAAGTGCAAGTCCTTGCAAGTATGGAGCCATATAGATCATTTCTGTGTACATCTGAAAAAAAAAGTGAAGAAATTAAGTTTTCATTATTGAAACATAAGATAAAGGGGGGAATATGGATCCTGACCATTTCTCGGGGTGGTTTCGCCTCCTGCAACCCAGGCATTACGGGACCAGCACAGGGCGAGCTCCTGTGGATGACACTACTTTGAGGTCACTGGGAAACCGGCCTCGCGGGTGGAGTGGCCAAAACACAACGCCCCGCCACCTCCCGCTGAGCTTCAAGCGCTCAGGACCCCGCGCCCGGGTGTCTGCTGCCCCCGCGCGGCCGCGCCGCCGTCCTGCACCCGCGAGAGAGCACACTTGAGAGCCCGGGGCGGGGCTCCGGGGCAGGCAGGAGGCCGGAGGCAGATCCTTTGTCCTGGACTTGGGAGGGGATCTCCACCCGGGAGTGGTATTTCTTGGCACGTGCAAGGCAACGCTGCTGATAACTGGGTTATCCCAGCCTGTCCAGCCTGTCACCTTGCAAGGTGCAACTCCAGGTCGCACAGAGCAAGCGCAGGAATGGCCTTGAACCTAGTGCTGAGTGGCAAAGAGAAGCTGAGGGAGGGGACCTTGGACTGAGGGCAGAGGGGCTCCCAGAGGAAGAATCTAAATTGGGGCTCCTCCTACTACCCTCAGGCCCCTGCTGGCAGTAGGACCACAATTCATTCATTCCCCTCCTTCTTTCTGCAGCACATGGGAGGGAACCCGGGCTGAGCCCTGAGCAGTGCAACTGCCCCACCGCTGAGCCCACCCCCAGCCCTTCATTCATCTCTGGAGTGCTCTCCTGCAGGGATCAAGGCATGATCCTTGCTTTCAGAGGTAAGGAAGGTAAGGCAGCAAGCAGGCAGGGTGACGCTGAGGTTCTGGCTGGTGGGACTGCAAGGCTCGGATCACAGTTCCTGAGCTCTGCTTAGGGGAAGGTCCACACCAGGGGGAGCCCCTGACCTCTGTCACTAGATGCCCAGGCTTTGTGGCCCCTCTTGTCTCCCTGGTCTTGTGGTCTGGGTAGCCACGGAGCCACGGAGAGGCCTTGCTGGGATCTTGATTGGAGACCAAGATGGGGGCTCTGGGGTGGGGGTGGGGCAGCAGAAGGAGGCAAGTGGGCAGAGCTGAGACGGAGGGAGACCTGGGCCTGGCATCCAGATGGGACACCCCTTGGGGCTCCTGCCCTGACCACAGGCAGTTGATGACTACATAAGAGGTAAGGTGGAATTCTAGGTAGAAGGATACTGGGTGATGGTGGGGGGCAAGCCCATGATGGGTGCAGAGAGGAGAGAGGAAAGCCGTTCAAACCCTGGTTTCAGCCACCACCTCCATCCCAGCACCATCTTAAAGGTGCTTAGAGGTCCCAGCGCCATCGTTACACTGGGGACCAAATTTTAACGTGATTTTTTTCTTCCTGGTGCTAGAGATGGAACCCAGCAGTCCCTGGGCCCCTCTCCCAGCCTGTTCACCTCTCCACACCATCTCAGTGGACAGTGCCACCGTCACCCCCTCACCTAAGCTGGGGAGATCCCAGACCCCTGCCTCACTTTACCACTCTTCGTATTCCTTCTGCTGCTGGGACCCAATTCTGTGTCTTATGTTTTCACACATCCTGTTAATGAGGCACAATCAACTAATGATCTTTTGTCTTGGACTTTGTTTTCAAGGATGTCTATAGGACAACCTTGAAGGTAGTCTCCTCCTGGGACAAAGGGCAGGCTTGCTTTCTGCTCATGGTTAAGGTTTGAGTTCTTTTCCTGAAACACACCCACTGTGTGTACCCTGGATGCCATCTGGTCCTCTTCATGTCACCCTATGGAATTTGCCTTCTCCCAGCCTCTGTGGCGCTCTGGCCAGCTAAGTCATTGGATTGCAAGTAAGGTAACATCTCAAGCTGTCTGGATTCTTTCAATGCTGTCCTGTCCGTCCTCCTGTCTTAGTCTGTTTTCTGTTGCTATGACAGAATACCCAAGACTGTGTGCTTTATAGGGAAAATAAGTTTATTTAAGCTTACAGTTCTGGAGGCTCAATGTCCAAGATCTCATGGCCTCATCTGAAGGGGGCCTTGTGCTGATGGATCTCATGGCAGAAAAGCAAATGGGCCTGTGCAGAAGAGATGAATAACAGAAGAGGCCCCGTTGATGTATAAGAACTCACTCCTTGGGTTCCATCCCCAGAACTGCAAAGTAAATAAAATACAAAATACTAAAATAACCCACTCGTTTCTGCAAGAATCAACCTGGGCCTGAGAAAACAATGTTGAATCACTTGTGAGCCATGACCAAATCACTCTTGAAGGTCCCAGCACCTTTGTTACACTGGGGACCAAATTTCAATGAGATTTTGTTTTTCTTCCTGTGCTAGAGATGGAACCCAGGGCCTCTTGTATTCTAGGCCGATGCTCTACCAGTGGCTATCCCGCTGCCCCTCGACGTGAGTTTTGGAGGGGACACACCACATCCAAACCATAAACCCACCTTCTCTAATGTCTGGCCTCTGTCCTCCTCTCCCCAGCCCCTGCCTGAGCGACTTGTTGTTCTGTGTTCTTCTCTGTTCTCCCTCCCTGGCCCCCACTCACCCCGTCGCCCAGGATACCACTAGCCCAGCTGACTGGTGGGCAGCCGCCCTGCAGAGTTCTAGGTCTCCTGGAGACCCTTCCTCCTCACCCTGGTCGGGTTGCTGGGGTCCCGATGCTTTTGCTCTGCTGCGGTTCCTAGGGCTTGGTGGCCTAGTCCAGTCCCTGCTGGCTTCGGTCCCTCCCCATACCTCCCCTCCCCCACCCCACCTGAGTCCTGGTACAGAGTTGGGATGGCACGTCCGTCCGTCTGGACTCTCCTTCACGCCTTCGTTTTTTGGGGACTCCTAGCTGTCCTTCAGAGCTCAGGCCGAGGGGGCATTTCTGAAACCCCGTGGCTCCCCAGGGCCACAGAGTTGGAGAAAGAGCAGGGCTGAGGCTGGAGAAGGGGGACTTTGTGTACCTCACCTTCTCTTCCCCAGGTGAGGAGTGAGCAGGTGAGCAGGACCACCCTGGGAGAAGATCAGCACAGACATACTGGACATGCTGGGGACTCTTGGGGCAGGGGACCATGTACGGTTGGGCAAGGTGTGGCCTGCACAAGGATACCTGGCTGGGGGGGGGGTGGCGAGTAGGGGCTGAAGTCATGCTGTGGGCCAGGGTGGGGGTGGCACCAGTTCTTCCAACCTCCCAAAGGGACCCTCTGCTCATGGAGCCCTGCATTCCCAGACATGCGCACCAGAGGGCATGCTTTAAAATGCAAATGGTGGGAGCTGGTCCTGCAGCCTTGGGGGACCTTGTACCCATTTCACACTGGTGAAGCCCAGTGTAGAACTGGTACTTAGCCCATGTGAGGCCCTGGGCACCATCTCTAGCACTAAAAAAATAAAAGAAAACCTCGTGGTTAGAGTCCTGGATTTCCCCAGAATTCCAACCCTTTACTCCCGACGCAGAGCGCAGACACCTCTCCGAGATGCTCAGCCGCCAGTGCCCTCCTGGTGGCTTCTTATGGCCCTGGGGCCAGGGTAGCTCAGAAATGCCCCCCTTAGCCTCACTACCCACCTTTTCCAGGTACCCAGAGGCCTCCACTTCAGCATGCATTCGTTTCCTGTTCTCTCCTGTTGGGTGCAGAGCAGGCTGAACTGTGTTGTCTGCAGGGCAGGCTGAACAGATGTTGGCTGCAAGATAGCCCACGCACTCAAACCCCCCTCTGTCTGGTCCTTTATCACCTGTTTGTGTCAAGTCCCGCTCAAGGCTGAGCACTCAACCCCCCCTGGGCCAACAAGGCAGCTTGCAGACCCAGAGGCCCCATTAGATTTGGGCTATAAAAACTCCCTCCTGCCCGGCCCCCCTCTCTCTCCCTCTCTCTCTTGCTCTTTCTCTCTTGCTCTCTCTCTTGCTCTTTATCTTTCTTACGCGCGCTCTCTGTCTCTCTCTTGCTCTTGCTCTCTCCCTGTTCATCTCTTCTCTTTTCTCTCTCTCTCTTTCCTTCTTTCTTTTCTCTTTGTTGCACTGCTGCAATAAAGATCTCTTGGTCGCTCCGAGTGTTGTGGTCACTTTCCTTTCATTGGTGCCGAAACCCGGGAGAGGGTTAAAACCCACTTTTGGGTCCCTCTTCCTTCGGAAGTGCCACTCACCGGATGGCCTGAACCCAGGCCTGAACCCATTTTCTCGATCGCCAGAACTCCATCCACCACCGACCTTCGATTGGTGAGTTTCCCCTCCCTGGAGTCCTAAACCCAATGGTGGTGTCAGGAGGATTTGGCCGTTGATTGTCCAGCAAACCTCTTTGCCCACCTGCGGGGAGGAAAACACCCCACCACAGCCTTTAAGGCTATGGTGGCCCTCAGGGACTCCTTCCTAGGGCAGAATAGACTCCTGGGTTCAAAATTATTCCCTTCCCTTCCCAGCTGTTAGTTACCAGCATAGGCTTTGTAGGTCTCCCTTGAAGGACTGTGTAACCTCCAGGGACACATAACAGAGAATTGAACATTACAGTCCACCCAGACCTTCACCAACTTGGTGGCTCTCCTAAAATCCTAGTCCTCAGACACTTACCCTCCCCTTCCTCTCTCTTCCCCTCTCTTCCCGGCCTCTCCAGGAGGGGTCCCGAAAAGAAAAGCCTTGGCCAAGGTCTCCCACGGCTCCAGCTCCATCCAGGACGAGAGCTTCGACTGTCAGGATTTGGTGACGACCAATCTCTGCAGCTCGAACCTGCCACTAAGGCACTCCTAAGGCTCTAGCGGGAACGCCCCTTTTGCCAATAAATCAGTTTCCTCCTTCTCTCTTATACTACGGTTGCGTCTCCTTCCTTCTCCTCTATATCAAGTTTGCATCCCCTTCCCTCCTCCTTATACTACTTTGCGACATGGGTAATGTGTCCTCTCTGCTGGTCGACTCTCCCCTACAATGCCTCTTGGATAACCTCAAAACCCTCTCCTTGACACCAGACATCAAACCCCCAAAATTGATCAAATATAGCACCCAGGCCTGGTCCACTTATCCCTTAGACAACCAAAGCAGATGGCCCTCCTTTTGGGTCCCTGGATCCCTCCATTCTAAGGGATCTCTACAATTACTGTGAGCATTCAAAAAAATGGGTAAAAAGCTGCTATATCAAAGCTTTCTTCTTGCTTGTGCTCTCTGCACCTCTTGCAGACCTCTGCAAATTCTTCTAGCTTGCAAACCAACACCCACAACCACTGATCCCCAATCTCCTCCTCCTCCGGACTCATCCACTACTTTTGACCCTACTGATGAATTTCCACCCTATCACCCGGCTCAAATAGGTCCTCACCCTCAACCTTCTGCCCCAGCCCCTCTACTGTCTCCCCCACCTGAACAACCTGACTTCTCCTCTCCACTCACTAGATCAAAAACCTAAACAACCGTCTTTCCTCAAACCATTGCCTCTTTTCTGAAGTAGCAAGTACTGAAGGAATCCCTCTACCCACTCACTCCTCTCTTCTCCTGTCAGTGCCCACACCAGGTCCCACCAGGTCCTCTTACCAGCTAACCCAAAGCTCAAACCAGCTGAGGAGAGCCCTTGGACCCCTATCAGAGATCTGGTGAAAATGGCCTTTAAAGTTGCTTTGTCATCCCTGAAAACAGGTTACTAAGAATTGTCCCTTACAGGCTTTTTTGGGATATTCACTCCCATCCTCCCCTCTGCTCTACCTGTTCTACTGCTCAAGTTTTCCTTGCTAGGGAAAATCCTATTCTTTTACATCACTCCTTCCTCATTCTCAGATCCACTGACTTGCTCTCAGCCCCACCTTCCCGTCTTCCCCTCCTTACCCAGGCCCACAGAAAAGGCTTAACTGACCTTCTCCAGAAATCTTCACCATGGCTGATTTTAGGATTTTTCAGCAAAAGAATCCCTATAAAAAAATTTAGTGTAGATAAACTTCCTATTTTCCTGTTGCCCTGTTTTACTTGGTCACTGGCTAGAAAAATCAGCACTCAAAAAGTTGGACACCCCCTTACTAGTTTTTCACAAAATATGTAAAACAAGGCCACTGGCTTTGAGCTGGGGCTTCACAGAGAAGGCTACATTTCTAAGATAAGGAGGTTACCAACTGGGCTCCATGATAACAGCTGGCAGGGGTGGGGAGGGTGGGGGGAAGAGGAGAGAAAGGGAAGAAAAAGCTCTACCCCTCCCAAGTGTCCTTGAAGGGTTAACTTGCCCAGAACAGAGGAAAAAAAAAAAAAAACTGCTTTTTGTGAACTTCTGCAGACTGCGAACTTCTGAGCCCCTTCCCTTACATGTTGGGTACAAAATTCTGAAACAGCCTAAACTTGGGGTTCAGGGGATTAATTGATTACAACAGAAGCAGTGCCCTCTGAATCTGGTTGCAACCAAATAAAACTGTTTCACTATCTTCAGTGCTATCTTAGGTGCCTTGCCTTGTCTGTTCCTACAACAGTATAATTCTATATACTTAAACATTGTTCATGTTTTCATGAAATGGTCAACAGATGTGATTAATTGTGTGCTGCAAATAACAAAATATCTCTTATTAAAATGGAATAATTTGCCTAAGTTCAGAAATTTACAAGGATTATTTAAAAATGTAAAAAAAGAAAGAGTTAACAGATAGGAAAGAGAAATTAGAAGGTTCTAGGTATGGATTTAATAGAAGGAAAATGTGTTTCTGGATAAGAGAGTCTGTTAAGTAAATAAGAGGGTTTAAGTAAGTGCTAAAGAAGGTCTGTATATACAACTATGGTTAAACAACAACTGTTATTTTGCAATATTGTAATATGTTATTTCTTTAAAAGCTAAACTTGATTAATATAAAAACATCAGTAGTAATTGTGGTACTATTACTCTTCTTTGTATATTGAATGTGCTCATATTTTCCAGGTATATGTCAGTAAGATAGAAGCTTTAAAAAAACTATATCAAGCTGGTGTTCTCCAAAAGGTTGCATGGTTATTTTAGGCTTATAAAAATAACATATCGGAGATTTATTTATATCATTTAATGTTTTATAACTGGACCTGTTATCAATAAGATTAATATAAAGTTCTATACACTGGGTACAATTTAAATGTAATATACTGTATTATCTAGTATTCATGTGACATCAAACAACAATATATGTAAATTTTATAAAATAATATTTAAAAAAAAAAGATCAGCTTCAATACTAGAACACTTTACCTAAGATTTATAAATCTTAGCCTTACCTGGGATAAGGCTGTGCTTCCCATCTTAATACATGTCAGGATGACTCCAAAGTAGGCCAGACTTCAGCTAAAGCCCAACACTCTTAATTTAGGGTGAAACTGACTTTGCTGGATGTTTATGATCAAGACTTAAAGTTAAATTAAAATGGCCAAGAAAACCAATATTTGGCTCTGGCCCTCTGAGTCAGTCTGAATCCAGGGAACAGGGAACTTCTCTAAAGAGCTTTGCAACTCTGGGCCACATAACCTCCTGATCAGGGAGATTAATGAGACCACTGGAGAATGAAAAGCCAATCAGTGCATTCGCTGTAAATAGGAGGGTCATTGGAGACAGGAGACATCCCTGATGCTTCCAAGGGAAGCCACATGGTCAAGCAAGACCTGGACCCATCCTAGCGCAAATGGCACTAGCAGAACTAAGAAGCTGCTCTCAGGTTCCCCCACGAGCGACCCCTGTGGGAACTCAGCTGACTCTTAACAATAGATAGAAACAAAGTCAATTTTGACCAACTTGGTCTTAAACACCTACCAAAACCAGTTAAGCCAAAACCAGTCATTCCTGGGAGTAATGAAGGACAAGAACAGCTAGAAAAGAGGAGACAGCAACTAAGCCAACAGGCTCCATGGGGAATATTCAGTTAAGTATGGCCTTGGCTCCTCCCCCTCACAGGACCCCTATTAGTCCTCTCTATGTTTCTCCTAATAGAACCATGTCTATTAAATTGCCCACAGAAGTTCATGCAAGGTCAGATACACAAATTCACCAACAAGCTGGTCAATCAACTACTTCTTTAAGACTACCAGCCCTGATGCCCAAGATGGACACCTACGACTCATGACCAACTCCTCTGGCTCCAGAGACTCTGTGCCCATCTAAAACCCTCTCTAACCCTTTTTCCAATTTTCACAACCCCTCTTTCACTTCCTAGGAATGAGAACTACTCTCCAGCACGTCCACTCTGCTTATTCTGTCTGCTCTACAGTATCCCCACAAGGAAGCATCAAACCTAAACTCCCCCTGGTACCACCATGTCTCCCACCTTAAAAAGGCACTTGTTCCAAATGTCCAGTCCTGGACTTCCACCATGCCCACCAAACTCAAAATTTCTCACCAACCCTCTTCTTCTTTTACTAATCATTATTCTCTCTCAAGTTTTTATCTCAAACCACAGATACGGCTTGGCTTCTACATCCAAGCGACATAACACCAGGATGACACCACCCACTCTCAGTTTATGGGTCAAGGCGATTGCCCTTCCACTGGCTGCAATCGGTCTGTCACCCTTAACATTACTGGATTCAACCAAGCCACCTCCAATACTTCCTAGAGTCCCTGCTACAGGACCAGTGGCTGATACCAAGAATCTCCTCCATCTAGGACTGGTTTGATGCCATCGAGGACTTGTGGCTTCAAGGAACTTTTATGGACTTTACCCCTACCACAGTAGTTGTCTGTAGCCACTGAGTGTTATTTCTGGCTGCCCTGGTGTTCTCAGACCTGTCCCCCGAACATTCCTCCACTTCCCCTTCTAGGTCTAACGCCGCGCCCACCATTAAGCAGGAAGAAGCCAGAGGACTTTACGCCTTCCCCCGTGTCACTTAGAAAAACAAAAAGGGAGGAATGTTGGGTGCAGAGCAGGCTGAACTGTGTTGTCTGCAGGGCAGGCTGAACAGATGTTGGCTGCAAGATAGCCCACGCACTCAAACCCCCCTCTATCTGGTCCTTTATCACCTGTTTGTGTCAAGTGCCGCTCAAGGCTGAGCACTCAACCCCCCTTGGGCCAACAAGGCAGCTCGCAGACCCAGAGGCCCCATTAGATTTGGGCTATAAAAACTCCCTCCTGCCAGGCCCCCCTCTCTCTCCCTCTCTCTCTCCCTCTCTCTCTTGCTCTCTCTCTCTTGCTCTTTATCTTTCTTACGCGCGCTCTCTCTCTCTTGCTCTTGCTCTCTCCCTGTTCATCTCTTCTCTTTTCTCTCTCTCTCTTTCCTTCTCTCCTTTCTCTTTGTTGCACTGCTGCAATAAAGATCTCTTGGTTGCTCTGAGTGTTGTGGTCACTTTCCTTTCATCTCCCACGTATTCCCAGAACCCACCGAGGTGTCCCCCGACACTTAGGGGACAAAGGTCGCCATCTCTTCCCTTTGCTTTTTGGCAAAATGTAAAACTAACAACTGGAAGGGCTGCAGGTTTGGGCAGCGGAGCCTCTGCCTGCCCGAGAAGGTTCTGCCACCTGGGGCCCTGGGGCCAGCTTTCTGTTTTTTAGGACTTTGCTACTTTGGGATGTGCAGGGTGTGGAAGGCGCCCCTCCCCCACCTGTTTCCCTGCAGCTGAGACTTCAGCTGTGACACCCCAATCTTCTTCCCACGCCTCTTGATGCTGGGCAGGTGGAGGTCTGGGAGCACACGGCTCTCTGAGGCCAACACCCCAGTTTTCGTTCTTCAAGGGTGGGGTGATTCTCCAGCATGCTCTGGACTTTCTCCCGGGGACCCCAGCTAGACGGAGCCCCATGGCCCAGAGTGTAGCCCTGCTCCTAACAGGCCTGCCTCGAGCATCCTTCCCGCCCCTGCTTCAACTCCTTACTCCCCTCTGGATGCCTTTTG